GTTTAAGTTTTATATTACTAAGTTGGAGCCCAAGGCATAACGTAGGTGGTGGGGTGGGTGCCGAAAGGCCAATGAATTGGGCTCTTGAGTTTTTTTTGTAATTTTAGGTAAGCTAGGGCTTAATTGTAATGAATAGGTAAGTTGAGGGTACGATAGCCGATAGACTCTGAATTTCGAAGTCTGTTGTCAGAGGTAAGCCTTGGTGGCCAGTGTTGTACCGGCAATGGTTTACTATCCGGACAGCAATGGTTTACTATCTGCACGGTAATGATTTACCATGCGGCACGGCCATAGTCTACTACCCGCACGGCTTCCGGACGGCAAATGGTTTACTATCCGCACGGCAATAGTCTAGTATCCGCACGGCAATGGTTTTCTATCCGGTGCCCTGGCTGTCGGTGAACCTCTGTGCAAGGAGGGAGAATGAAGGGGGACTTTTGACTATCGTACCATTAACAATTTAATATAGATTAGTTAAGGTAATTGAATAGGTAGATAGGGTTAATTTTATTAAGCAATTTGAGATGCAGGCACCGCTAAGCTTTCTGATGAGAATCTACTTTTTCTCTATCTTTCTCCATCAACACGGGCTGTGTTTCAACAACAACCTCGAGGAGGACTGGCACCAGTTTTGGAGGACAACGTATGAACCGGACCGCATTCAACATTCTGCCTTTGTCGAATGGACGACGGTAAGTTTTTTTTACATTTTACTTACTTTATTATTTTAAAATGTTATTTATTTGACATTATTTTTATTTTATAATTTAATTTTTTTTGCTTCTAAGATTCTAACATTTATTTACTACTACGCAAATAAAAAAATTTTGTTTACAGAATGATGAGAGGTGGGCAGTGGTGGGAGTCAGCACATTTTAGATGGTGGTCTCATGATGATTTACATATGATGATGGTGGTGTAGGAAAAATCAGCTCGTTGGCTGTTCGACTGACACTCTGAAGTTCGGATGGTATTTTGTGTGCCGACCAGATGGTGGTGGTCGGTGCAATGGAAAGTACAGTAACGACGATTTTTGAAGTAAGGTTTAGTTTCGTTTTTTATTTTTCTCATTCGTTCATTTTATCACTCAACCTTTTAAATTATTCTTCTATTAGTCGATTCGTTAATTCATTCTATTCATTAATTGAATCATTGATTTATTAATTAATTAATTCATTCACTCATTCATTCAACCAATTATTCAATCATTCAGTTAATCATTTATTCGATCGTTCCTTTGTTCCTTGATTTACTAATACGCTATTTAAAAATGTTTACAAAATGATGAGAGGTGGGCTGTGGTGGGCATCAGCACGTTTTATATGGAGGTCTCATGATGATCGTTCCGATGAAAATTCGAAGATAACAACAACGACGGTTTTTGAAGTATGATTTAGTTTCTTTTTTTTATTTTTCTCATTCATTCATTCATTTTATCACTATCTTTCAAATTATTCCTCAGTTAATTTATTCATTGATTCATTCTATTCATTCATTAGATCATTGGTTGATTAATTAATTAGTTAATTTATTCATTCAACCAATCGTTCAATCATTCAGTTAATCATTTATTCGTTCGTTCCTTTGTTTCTTGATTTACTACTTCGCTAATTAATAAAAACTTGTCTACAGAATGATGAGAGGTGGGCTGTGGTGGGCGTCAGCACGTTTCAGATGGTGGTCTCATGATGATCGTTCCGATGACAAATCGAAGATAATGTTAAAGGTAAATTTGTTTTTGTCTCATTGTATTTTTGAAAGTACTCGAATTTGAACAAAGATTGAGTGTTATCTCAAAAAGATAAGTTGCCTATTTTTTCCAATTGCTTGTTTTTTATTTTAGTGAATTAATTTTTTTTTCAATTTATTTTTCAGTATCCGGTCAAATTCATTCCATCGATGCGTGTCAGATGATGGTCGGTGCAATGGAGGTTCGTCGGTAGTGAGTGAAGTTTCTGGAGAGTGCGCGCCCGCACATTAACACACACATCAATACAACACACACATACACAGCATCCATTCATTTGGTGTCGTTGTTGCTATGTTTCTCTTCAACTTTGTATTTTCTTTACCGTGAACCGGGCTTTAATTTAATTCATAGGTAAGTTAGGGACTGAGATGAGTTAAACAATTGTAGGTAGGCTAGGGCTTAACATTAGTTAAAAAGCTTCAAGTAAAATAAAAACGCTAAAATATGTTAAATAAAATACTTGAAACATCTAAAACAAGAAATACAAATTTGTAGGTAAGTGAGTTGAGTCAATGTTTATAAGTAAGCTAGGGCCCTGAGAGTAATTTTATTATAGGTAGGTGACTATTATTCTTGCGACTTCTTACTAGTTTTGTGTGATGTGTTTGTTTTCGCTTCACAACACCACACCAACAAAACAAACTACATTTCATTCTCGTCGTCGCCTTAAATTGTACCTTTTTGAACAATCTTTTTAATAATGTCTATTTATTTATTCATTAAATGTTGACTGGTTTCTAGTTTTTTCTTAAATTGGTTATATAATTTTTGGATATTTCTTGATTTACTTTGTATATATGCATATATAAATTATTTCTGTTTGTGAACTGTTCTTACTAAATGTTCATGTTACGTGGTTTATTATCCTTCGAGAACTTCTAAGGTGTGTGTATAATAATAATAATGGATAATAATTATTTTTATTGGTCGATATTTTGTTATATTTGTTTATTTAAAATACGAATTTAAAAAAAAATTGACATTTAAAAATTTTAATTAACCGTCACTTTTCATTTTTGAATGAATTCAAATAAAAGCAACTACTGTGTTTTTCTTTCTTTACTAAAATCTCGAAATTGTTTGTAGATCTGTACGGTTAACTGTTTGTTCGAGTTTGAACAGGCCTTGCAATTTTTTTTATTTTTGTTTTTATTTTTGTTTACTTGGTTCATTCAATTTAGTTGATTGATTGATCGGTTGATTGATCGGTTGGTTGATTGATTGATAAACTGGCTGGCTGGCTGGCTGGCTGACTGACCGACCGACCGACTGACTGATTGTTTAATTTATCTCATAGTATTGTATACATGAGAAAAAATCCGATTAAGCCAACCTACGGCTTCAGTAATGCCACTGTTTTTCACCTGACAAAAGCAATTTCTATATTTATACTGACAAAAATAATTGATATGAATATATTGATTTATTTAAAGCATTATATGTACAAAAAAGTGCTATCGTAAGAGTTTTAAGAAACCCTGTAAGCCACTGCTGTAAGCCAACGTATGATTTCAGCAGCCAGTTTCTTATGAGCACCAGCAGAATGTAAAATATTTATTGAATATAATGAAGATAGTTGTTCAAATAACAATTTTGATTTATTTAGGCCGTTTATTTCATAAGCAAACCAATTTTTAACATGATCGAATAGTTGAAAAAAAAAGGGTGACTATAGTTCAATCCTACTAAGCCAACCTTCGGCTTCAGTAAGCCACCGGATTTCACCGGACCAAAAGCAATTTTTATATTCAAATTAACAAAAATAATTTAATAATTCATAATTATATTAATCATTATTAAAATTAAATAGAATTACTACAATGTTTTAAGCATATTAAATCATTATTTCATTTAGCTTGCTCGTTAAAATCCATGCAATTTCGTAAGCCAACAATCCAAGCACGACAAATAGCCCGACCGATAGATCAAATTGATCGATTAGTCCTATTATTCTAGTTATGTGGTTTAGAGCAAGGGGAGACATTACTGAAAATAATTAAAAATGGAAAAAATTGAGGTTCTTTGCATATCCCTGCTTCAACCCATAAGAATGCTGGTAAATAGGCCTCCCCTTTGTCTCCATGGATATATACCCATGAATATCTCTAAATAAATAAATTTCTATGGTGTTGTTGCATGGCTTTTTTTTAAAGAGCGATTTTAGGGCCGTGTGTTTTGTAGATTTTGGTGTAAGAACTAAATAATCCGTAAAAATGACGGATGAAGATAATATTCAAATAAATATTTTCACCCCCAATCGTAAAAGAAAGTTTGAAACTAATAACGAGACGAAGGTTGGTTAGGCGGTTTTATTTTAACTTTTTTAGACAAATTTTTATTAATTTATTATATTTTTATTATAAATAAATTATATCACTTTACGTGAATAAGATAAGAGAAAGGCGTTTTACTCTTTTCTTTGATATTTTTATTTTAATTAAAAATAGTTTTAAAATGAATACTATGTAAAATTTTGTCACTGATGATGAAAACTAACAAAAAGGTGACTGCCAAACGGCAAAAAGTAGAAGACATCCTAAAAAAACCAAAAAAAGTGGCCCCTAAACCAAAAGAGAAATTAAAGGAAAAAATTTTACAACTCGAAACAACTTTAAACTTAAACAATTCTGACAATCCTAATGATAAAAATACATCAATTGGTAATAAAAATTCAGGTTTTAGTAATAACAATAAGAAAGAAGTTAAATTAGTAGAAAAAGTAAAAAATTTGAATAATAAAAATAAAGCATCCCTGGTGAAGAAAAAATTTCAACCTCATCAAATATTTGCCAATAATCCAGAAATACCAAAAATAAAATGGTAATTCTTAATAATTACTTTATAGTATAATTTTAGTTTTGAATCAATTCTCATCATATGTCTTTAATTTATTTTACAATTTTATAAATAATTTTGTTTAATATGTCCTTAACTTATTTAATTTTATGTTTGCTTATTATGTCTTTAATTTATTTTACAATTTTATAAATAATTTTGTTTTATTTAAAAATTATTTATTCAGCTCTCCAATCGTTCCTATAATGGAAGACGTATTTTCAAATGTCAGCGTGAAAAAGCTGAAACTCCATCCGTTCATGGTTTGCTTCTGTTTGTCGCTATTTTTTGTACACAAGGCTCTTCAAAAATCACATTGAAATAATCCAGTGCATTACAATACCACATATTATACATAACTGGCAGGCAAAATGCAATACATAAAACATTTACACAGGAATCAAACTTAGCAAAGATGGACATAACAATGTTAACAGTTGTGCAACAAAAAGCTATCCCATGCATCATGCAGGGAAAAGATGTACTTGTCAAGTCTCAAACTGGATCAGGTTAGGTGATTAGTGGATAGGTTGATTGAATGAATAAATAAATGAACAAGTGAATGAGTGATTCTGTGAATGAATGAATGGATGAACTAATGAATGTTTTTATGATTAGGAATGGTTTCTCATCTAGTCAGATTAGTAAGAATAGATTCATGGATGAACTGAATGAATGAAAATGAATGGTTTAGTCTTTGAAGTGATAGAAAGATAGATGGAAGATAAAATAAAATCAGTGATTGGCTTTGTCTAGAATTTATTTTTTAATAAATTTTTATTTTATTGATAATCAAATAATAATAACAATAATAACTACAATTATTATTTCTGTTTAATAGGTAAAACAATGTCGTACGCAATTCCAATAATCGAACATTTGCAGTCTACAGAACCTAAGATATCAAGAACTTATGGGCCTTATTGTATTGTTGTCGTGCCAACAAGAGAGGTATATGGATTGGTTGGTTGGTTGGTTGATTGATTGGTTGGTTGGTGGATTGATTGATTGATACTGGTTGGCCAGTTGGCTGGTCTACTGATTGATTGAATTTTAATTTTTAAAATTGAAATTTTTCTTTTGACTAGTTGGTTCTTCAAAGTTACAGCGTCCTTATGAATTTGGTCAGGGTATGTAAATGTTTGTTTAAAAATGAACTAAAACAATGAAAATGTTATAACAATTTTTCTTCTTGTTATTATTATTATTATTATTATTATTATTATAGTTAATAATTTATAAAAAAATCTATTCATCAGCCATTTGTGTGGGTGGTGCCGGGCTATTTGATGGGTGGTGAGAAGAGAAAAAGTGAGAAAGCAAGGTTATGATGATGATGATGGTGGATGGATAGATAGTAGATAGATGGATGAATGATAGATGGATAGATATCATATCTATCCATCTATCACTATCTCAGATATCTATCACTTAATCTCAGACAGTACTTTCTATCTATACAAATCTTTAAATGCAAATAATCTCAAACTCAGCTTGAAAGATATTATTTATCAACCGCAATATTAAAAATTATAATAAATAATAATAAATATTATTATTATTATAGATTGAAAAAGGGTATGAACATAATAGTGACAACACCAGCTCGACTTGTTGACCACCTTGACAACACATCATCGCTATCCTTGGATAATCTTAAACATTTTGTCGTTGATGAAGCTGATAGGTTGTCCTTTTTTGTTATTATTATTGTTGTTGTTGTTGTTGTGTTTTCAGCCTGCTAATTGTTATTATATTAATACTTATTACTAATTAATGAGCTGAACCTATGCGCATAAATTATGCAGGATGTTTGACATGGGTTTCGAGCGTGACCTCTCGCATATAATGCTTGTTATTAAGAAGAAGTGCGGTCCTCAGTTGCAGACGATACTTTTGTCCGCTACTCTCTCTCCCGGTTAATCTTTTTTTGATTCTCGCTTTATAATAATTATGATATTATTGGTTATTAACCATAAATAATTTATCATAAATAATTTAGGAGTTGAGAAGTTAGCAGGGATGAGCTTGAGGCAGCCGGTTAGGATTGACATGTCGTCAAATGATCAGCAGGGCAACCATCTGCCAGATGGCAAAGTTGACGACGTGTTTGTTACTCCATCGAGTTTGAAACACCACTATGTCGTTGTGCCTAGCAAGTTGAAGCTGGTTACTCTTGCATCGTTTCTTCTCTGGAAGTGCCAGGTTGGTAGGCTGGTTGATTGACTAGTTGATTTGATTGGCTGGTTGATATGGTTGACATTAACAATGGCACTTGCTTGCCAAATTTCTCAGCTAAGCAGCAATCCGAGCAAAGTAATCGTATTTCTGGCCACACAAGATTCCGTCGAGTTCCACCACACACTGTTGCAGACGACATTCATGTCCCCAGAAGATGATGATGACGCTTGCAAGGATTTTGAGCTTTTCAAATTGTATGGAAATATGCAACAGAAGGTTAACATCGATGTTGTGCTTTTCAAGTTTTGTGGCGTGTGATTAAGTTAGAATTTGATAACTTTAGATGTGTTCTATGCAGTTTTTGAATTAATTTGTTGAAGCTTTTATGTTTTATATATACCAACGCGGATTTTAATTTGAATTTTGTAATTTTATAAATGTACATAAACCCATTTCAACCTTTCAACCCCAGGACAGAACGAAAATCTTTCAGGATTTTCATGCAGCCAAATCTGGAGTACTCTTATGCACGGTAAGTATACGGAGCAATCTCATTGCCATATTTTACTCTTAAAAACATTTTAAACAACTTTCTAAATAAAAAGAAACACATTCCACTTAAATTAACTTTTCACCATCGTTGCTAGGACGTCGCCTCAAGAGGTCTCGACCTGCCTAACATCGGCTGGATACTTCAGTACAACACACCGGGATCGCCCACTGATTACATTCACAGAGTCGGCAGGACAGCCAGGATGGGGTCGAAGGGAAACGCCCTTCTCTTTCTAGAACCTTCAGAAGTGGAGTATGTCCAAGTCATGACTCAGCATAATATCGCGTAAGTTGGCGGTTCTTAAATTTAGTTATTTAGTTTAAAATTTTTGATTTGATATCTGTAGATTTGCGATATTTCCATTAACTAATCTTCAATTGGCGTATCAGAATGCACGAAGTGAAGATGGACAGCATATTGAAGACACTCCTCCTTGAAAGCAAGACTGGAAAAATTAACCTTATCCACAAAGTAACAGATTTTTTTCATTATACTTTTATTTAATATGCTTTTTCATTATTATTATAGCTATTATTATTATCATTTGATTTTAATAATTTCTTGTTTAGGGTCACAAGCCAAGAACGGTTGAAGATGCAGCTGCTTTCATGCAAGCCCAATTCGAAGAGTCACTCTGCCAGAATATGAACATGAGGACATTGGCTAGGAAAGGTGCCATTTTTAGTTCTTCAATCTAATTATTAGAATTGTGTTTTTTGCGTTAATTACTTAACAGTTCATAACTGTGGCGTTATTATAATTTATTAACTATAATATTAATTATTATTATTATTAATTTGGTGACCATGCAGCCTACCAGTCGTTCGTACGCTCGTACGCCACTTATCCAGCTTCTCTTAAACACATCTTCCACATAAAAAATCTTCATCTCGGACATTTGGCGACCAGTTTCGCTCTGTCAGAAACACCGAGTCGCCTTTCAGAAACTGTCAGAAAGTTTTGCCAGAGGGAGAGGAAGATATCGAGTAGGTTTTTTGGCTCGAAAGGGAAGAAAAATTTTAAGGATAGTAAAGGGAAAAAAAATTTTAGGGATAGTAAAAGTGAAAGATTGCCTCATTGGATCGATAAAAAATTTGAAGATAAATTCGTCGGTCACCAGCCATCTAAAAGGTTGGTTCGCGAGTTGATTAAATTTCGTTCTATTCATTATTGTTTTTTTAATTCCAATTGCTGGATAGTTAAGTTGATGGCGTTTCAATGATGACGGATTTAATAAAATCTTGAATTTTTTTTCAGACCCAAATTATCATTCTCTCGAATGTCGGAATTTGACTCTGGGTTATGAAGTGACAATGAATTTCAAAAACCTGCAAATTTACAAATTCATTTTTTTTGTAATTTATTTTATTGTCAAATAAAATATTTTGTTGAAATTGCATTACATTGTTCGTTCAAAGGATGTACTTACATGCCGCGTATGTTACACGTGCATGTAAGGTGTGGTGTATACGTGCATGAAAATGTTGAAGTACCACTTCTTGACGAGGTCGTAGAGGTAAGGGTCGGTTATATCTTTGAAATATTTATCTTCTGGTTCGAATAGAGATTCTTCCTGGTCTGAATTTTTACTGATGTTCTGCGTCGTGGCTCCAACATTTCCAGACCTGTCGTGGTTTTGGTATTGCGAAGAAAATAATTTCGTTTTGTGGAAGATGTCGCCTTCTGATTCGTCGCGAAACGTTGGCTCGCTGTTGAAAGCAAACGGGCTATGATGTCTGTTCATCTCTTTTTTCCACTTGGTTCTACGTTAAAAAATTTTTTAAACATTTTGTGTGTCGTGTGCTAGTCAATCATATTTTTCAAGAGATTCAACACATTTGCGCTTTGAAACTTGGTATTTGTGCTTAATTCAAAACAATGTTATTGCGCGCGCCAACCTTCTGTTTTGGTACCAGGTCTTGATCTGATTGTCCGTCAATTTAAGGTTTCTCGACAGGACGACCCTGTCGTGCACCGTCAGATATTTTGCATTCTCAAAACAGGACTCCAACTTTTCCAGCTGCACCTTGCTGAAAGATGTTCTGTACTTTTTTTTATCCGCGTCTAACGGCTGCCAGAAGTAATTTTTGAAGTTTTTCAAGTAAATGTCTGCAAATAAAATTTATTACAATCAAGGTTTCATGTAGACAATATGACATAAAATGGTGAACGTCTTTATGAATGAATGAATGATTGATAAGTAATCTATCTACCTTGTTCTATAGAAGGAACATCGTATGTAACTCCACGACGATCTTCATATTTTCGAGAGTTCTCAATCAATTTGTTGGATTCATCTTTCAAATTTCCTACATTAGATTCCTTTAGCCCTAAGATATGTTCAATGTTAAACATTTTCAAACTTCAATAATTATTTCCTCAGTGGAAAGACTTTATCGCGAATCAAAAAAAAAATGACAGTCAAATTTTTATATTTATATTTGTTAGCGGCTTCGAGGTTGCATGCGCGCGTACATAAATCCAACCAATTGAAGAACGTTTTTAAAAAATCATCCTTTCGAACGTTAAAATTTTATTCATCGACTATTTCTATCGGGAAGAATGAGCGCATTGAAACGAATGTTGAAAAAAATTAAATTTATGCCTCACGTTCATTCAACTAGAAATTTTTTCTCATAAGACATGTGCGCAATCACGAGAAACTTGAAGTGCATCTTCGAGTGAAGAAGTGTCGAAGCGGAAAAAGCAGAAGAAACTTTAAAGGAAATGTAAAATTGCGTGACGAGGAAGGAGTTGAATTGAAATTTCACAGTAGAGAGCAGAGGACAATGTGCACTATTTGCATGTTCCTATTGTACGTGCACTTCCGACTTTGGTGAAAGTTTTTTTTTTAAATAAAAGCACCCCCAGCAAGAAACAATGCCAAGTGACATTTGTTGTTTTACGCGCCAGTGCCTAGTACAAAGACAATCGCACAAGCAATAGTTCATGCGTTATTTTTTAAATAGATCGATGCCAGAGTATTGTCGAATAATTCGAAAAAAATAAATTTTTGTAATTAAATCATCAACCGAATCGTTGCTTATTATTTGTGTGTGCGCGTGTTGTTTGCTTGTTTTCAAAACACATTACCTAATTTCAGATATCCTCAAGTTAAACAGATTGTCGCAATTCACCGTAATCATTTATTAACGTCAGAAACCAATCAATCAAAAATGTTGTATACATATATCCATAGATACAACATATATCCATGCTTGTACCTTTATATGTAGACTGTTGTTTATTACTGAAAGATGTGAGGATAATCAAAGATAAATTTAAAAAAAAAATTATTATTTTAAAATCCAATTTATAATCCATATTCAAATACAAGTTATGCAATATGAAGGATGAATGAAATAAAATGTCACTCAGATGTGACGCAAATGAATTTTTATAATTTCAAATATTTAAAAATTTTGTGAATTTTAAAACTTTAAATGACCACAATATACTGTATGTATTACTGGACTATAGATAATGGAAGATGATTGGCTAAAAAAAACATAACATCACTAATTACGTATCAAGAAAATTAACCAAAAACAAACAAACAGGCAAACAAACTAATGAAATATGCTTGCTGCGTTCGTAAGTCCATAGCAATAGCAGGTTAAAAATCCTATCCAGTTTAATATAAACCTAGAGATGATGATATTGCAAAGTTTATACAAAATAAAGTTTAATTAAGTCTTTTTTAAATTAAATTAAGACGCACACACACGCACACACATTTTTTAAATTAAATTACAGACGCACACACACACACACACACACACACACACACACACACACACACACACACAAAATAAGATTTAAATTCTAAACTACTACATTCAACTGTTCTATAAGTAATAAATAACCACATAAACATACAGACAAACATACATTCAGACATAGTCAAACAAACCACATCATTAAAATGACACACACACTCACACAAACATCAGCACAAGAAACACAAACTCCACCACATCCTCATCATTTCATAGACCAACGAAAATATAAATACTACATCAATGATCAAATTTTTAACTTTCTTTAAATCGTGCACACGCATGTATAAATACGAATACACATACACAGTCATAAACTCATACATACATACAACATACAAACATAGATATATGCATGTATAGTATACATTGTACGCTTTATGAATGAACTAACATAAAACAACATAATCATTGTATGTGTTAATAAACGCTATATGTTGAACTCTATACAGTTTCAATGTATACAATCTTTTAAAATTAAAAATGCAATTAAAACAAGACAACCACATTACGACAATTTTCTATTACAACTCTCTCTTCAATATTTTTCGGGGCCTAAACAACAGCAAACACACAATGCACGTAAATACACGTGAAACAACGCATCACAAGCATTGTATGTGACGGACGGGGATCTCTTGGAAATTGAATCCGGTCCCTGCAATAGAAGCGCCAGACACCTTACCGCTACACCATCGCTTAGCCCATAGTAAAATTACTATAGGATTATATCACAATATTATATTATATTATTAAATTATTAGAACTGGTATTAGGGAACAATATTAGCCTAGAATTATTCATCAAACAGCCAGCCGACAATATATAAATGGTTGGAAAAAGAATTAAAACAAGTGTGAATGGATGAATGAGTGAATGAATGGATGGATGGATGAATGAATGATTTATCATCTTGAGTGCTTAGAGAAAATAAAATAAAGAGGATATATAAACAATGAAATAATTTTAAAGCAATATTCATAAAACCAAAATAAACATAATTTTATATAATGATAATGAAATTATTATACTTTTAAATGAATTTAATAAAACTTTTAAATAATAGTAATAAAAATAATTAACCATAAATATATATTTTTTGATATCATATAAAAAAAAATTATTTCTTTTTAATTTTCTTTGCCTGTTCTTTTTCTTTCCTTTGCTGTTTGGCTTTCTTCTTCTCTTCCTGCGCCAACCTTTTGCTTTTAAGATGGCTAACAAACTTGTAGACGAAGAAAGCTAAATAAGAAATATTTTTTAATTACTGAACAATTAGTTTATAATTTAGCCTATAATTTTAATTACACACACACACACACACACACACAAATAACACACATGCGTAAGCATAATATTTGGGTAAGTAGATTACAACAACAACACACGTTTAGATGACATTTTCCCCGAGATCGAGGGTTGCCGTTTGGCTACCTATGATGAAACCGAAATACCCCTCGATGCCATTCCATCATAAGTAATTTATTTGGCTAATTTTTACGCAGGACGCCCTTCCTTACGCAACCACAGTTATAAGCGGTGGGCCTAGCCTTTGATGATCCAACATCACTCACAAGGCAGTGAGGGTCAGTTTAATGTCATAACCAGGACATTGGGTAAGTAGATTAATTGTAGATATTAGATATTAAACACTAATTTTAATTTATTAAATAAACTAATTAATTAATTAAACCTATTAATGAGATAATAATGATCCCCGGAATGATGAATATGGTGTTGTCAATACCCTCTTTCACTGGTCCCTTGCTGAAGTCCACCATCTTCACCAACTTACTGTTTTTCACTAACTAACTAACTAGCCACAAAATTATTGAATTTATATTTTTTTTATTAAATAGAATACAAAATTAGACTAGAAAAGTACTTTTACTAAATTTTCATCTATTATTCAATTTTGATCTTATAGTTAAAAATTAAAGTGGTTTCAATTTTATTCTAATTTAATTAAGAAGAGTAAATAAAATAAAAAAATTCACCAAATTCACTAAAAACGTTGTGCCACGTAAACAGGGTTTTCAGTTTTAGTTAGCGTATGGAACTCTAAAGCTAAACAAACTGAAACGGGAATAGCGTGGACCCTTGCGCCTAATCTAACAATAAAAATAATAATAAGATATAACAGCCTTGTAAGTTGATGTCGATACAATACTATACAACACTATGCAGTACAGCATATATAATATAGCAACATATATTTTTATGAAAACGTGGTCTTTGCCTATTTTTGGTTTCACAATCTTCTACTAATAATCGTGCACAACGTCACTAATTGTGTACTAATTTGTATGCAACGTCAACAACAGTCACTCACAACTCACAGGTTTACACTACACGTTTAAGTTTAATTTAAATGTATAAGCCAACATATGTTGGTTTAGTAATTAGTTAAGCAGCGTTAAAATATATACAGAATTCATAATATAATATGGTGATGTATAATAATTATGTTATTATATTAATAAAAATGTATATTTCATATAGAAACATATGCAAATGCAACGTATACACACATAGGACCGCAAGTAGCGGGTTCAACTAACGGGCAAAATTACACCTATTAAAAGTGAATTTAAAGATAACATTTTTGTAACGATTTATTCATGGTCAACTTTGCAAATAACTTTAAAGAATTTGCATTCTTGGAAAGTTAAATATTTAAAATATAAGATTTCAACAAATTTAAAACTTGCTTCAAGCGAAAAACCAACAATATTCTCATCAATGATATCTTCATCCGATGATCATCTTCTTCATCATTTGCAAATCACCCCCATTCAAATGATGTTATCATTTCTTTAACGAATGAAATTCCTCGGTGCTTGTTTGTTTGTTGCATCTGCAAATTTTTTCTTCGTAAAATCGTGTTTTGCATTGTGTTTTGCTCACTGATACACGTTTGTAAACTTTAACTTGGAATATAAATTTATTTATTAAGAATGTATTTACATAAATAGTTCAAACGCTTTGAAAACTAATATTTCTTACGCATTTCGTTGACGGATTTCATATGAAAGTTATATACAAATGTAATATACTATTAGATTTACTACAATATTTTATTAGAATTAGCCCAATACATTGGAATATTTGATAACACCTAACAATTCTTAAATGTTTCTTATAATGTGTTGAACGGTTTATACAGAAAATCTCACCGATAGCAACTGCATCAAGAATGATATTAACAGGAACAGCGTTAACATCTTCAATTATCGTCTGCGTGGTTTTAACAGCTATATGCCACCTGATAGCCCTGGTCTCTCCCTATTGGCTGGTTTCCAGCCTAGCAACATCGAGTTCGGATAGTCAGGAAAAACCTGATTTCTCCAACTTGGGTCTTTGGACGATTTGTTTTGAGAAATTCGTACATCCTTATGAGTTGCCACCGAAAGAATATTTCGAATGCCATTCCCTGGCTTCTGAGGAACTGAGTAACATTGTGCAATGGCTTGTCCCAAGTTGGTCAATAAAATGACGATGGTGATGACGATTACGATGACAATAATAATAATAATAATAATAATAATAATGATTATTACTATAATTATAATAATAATTATTATTATTATAACCACAATAACACCGTATTATTACAGATTGGCTGTTTGTCTGTCGCAAACTGGCCATCACATCGACAGTGACCATGACCTTATCGACGGTGATGACGGTATTTCTGCTGCTTTGGTCATCCTACCAGCGTCTGGACAAGTTCTCCCAGAGAAGATTGGAGCTGCTGACCACTGTGGCTCAATACGTCACACCCGTCTGCCTCATTGTCAGCAGTAGGTTCATCTTCATCATTCTACGTGTCGTTCGTTTGCCATTTTTCAGCAATTCCATCGTACTCTATTTGGACTGGCTGGGTTTCGATATATGCGCGCACACATATCACATAGGTTTATACACATTCTCACATACACACAATCTCTCTCTCTCTCTCTCTCTCACACACACACACACACACACACACACACACACACACACACACACACACTGTCTCCCATAATGAACTACATATAACTAGGCAATATTTATAAATTTAGCTTGTTGATATTCATGACGTAGTTATGACGTAATGTTTATATAATATTTATTAATCATGAAATAATTAATATTCATGAATGAGATTAACATTTGCAAACGTCATCATCGTATTCCAGGCATCCTCCTCTTATTAACAGTCTCCATATTTTCCGACAACGCTAAGCGCCATCAGCACCATGAATTTTGGCTGCTGGGTAGTGATGACGTCGAATCATTCGACCTTCACCTCTCTATGTCATGGGTCTTTGAACTTCTGGCCTTTGTGACCTCTTGCCTGACAAGTGCACTTGTCGTCTGGTTTCTTATTTTGAAAAGTCGGGACGAAATTTGATGCAGTACAGATGGCGAGAATTTTTGTAGATATTTGCTTAAATAACTATGTTTAGTTGTTTGTTCTCAATAATTTAGCTGTTTATTTATTTTTTAACAAGCGGATAATGTTATTCTACATTGTTTTAAATGAATTAAATCAGAGAAAGCTTTCAATTTTTGCGAGTTATTAATTAGATCTTCCACATTACGTAACATTGAAAAATATAAATATCGTGTTTCTTGCAACATTCATGCTGTGAGATATATATCAATAAATAAATAAACATACATATCTGCACACACCACAAACACACCACACATACACACACATACACACACACATGCACACACACAAACATACGTACATTTATATATTTATTAAGATATCAGTAACGGAAAATACAAAAATCAGTTTCATGCTCTATGGCAACAATGAAAATTATATGATGAAATTGTAACATCAACGTTTCAACATGAAGAAAGAACGACAAACAAATTGAATGGTCACCATTGTTAATTAACTAAATAAACTAATTAATTAATCGTAATTAATTAATTAGTTTAGTTATGCAAGGTAGCAGATTTGAGAAAATGGACGAAGCGAATTAAAAATTTCAAAATAAAAATTCATGGCAAAGATGATCAATCGTTGTTTTAATAACTTTAAAATGCATTAAAATAGTTTTATCTTCAATGATTGAAAAAATATTTAAGGGAAAAATGTTTGAAAACGACGAAAAAATAACCAACTCGATACATCGAGGCTTTTGATTGAGTTTGTATTGTATATGTATTGATTTGTAGTTGTATTGTATTGATTTGTAGTTGTAATGTATTGATTTGTAGTTGTATTGTATTCATTTGTAGTTGTATTGTATTGCATTGTGTTGTATTATTTGGTGTTTGCATTGTATCGTATCGTTTGCATTTGTGTCGTTTCGTATCGTTATTTCGTATCGAATCAGGGTTTGAAGAGATCGTCGCAAGAACTGCTTTCCAAGTGGCGTCTACGTCTTAGAAGTCGGTTGAACATATCGACAGCCGCCCTATGCAAGCATCCAACCCTACCATCGTTACCCGACCCAGTTTCTGACCCATTTTCATTTGATTGGTCGTTTTGATTGCTAGCACAGCCCTTTCTTAGCCTGATTTGTCTGGTCACCCCAACGAGAAGGTCGTCCACTTTGTGGTCCAGCAGGGCCGATACTTCGATGAACTTGCAGTGCCGTTTGTGGGCCAGGCTCTTGCCATCTAGCAAGGAACAAATTTCAAGGTTTATTTCTTGAAATTATTGAAAAAATAAAAACGAATTCAACATACTTTTTTTTTATAAATGTATGATTTCATATCGACTGATCACAAAGCCAACACATGCAACAACTTAAAACTCATTTCCTGCCCATCCCTACTCCTACCTTCTTCAGAGATTATCCGGTTCCTGACGATATCCTGCTTATTTCCGACCAGGATAACGACGTTGTGGCGTTTGGCAGGCCTCAAGTCCTGCAGCTGATTCTGGGCGAATACGTAGGAGTTCCGATCTGTAATGGAGTAGACGACTAAGAAGGCATCCGCTTGTATGAAGCCATCCTTTTTCTTCGGACCCTGGCGTGGAATTTTAAATGACGTCATTAATTAATTATTCGCGATTAATTAATCAATTAATTAATTAATTAATCACGTGGATATCGCGTTGTAATGATGATGAAACCGATGATGAAATCGATGAAGATAGTAATGAAAAAAATGAAGATTGTGATGACAAAAATGGTGATAACGATGACGACGACATTAGCGGCAGTGATGAAGACGACGACGATGATGAGGATGATAAGGACTAAAATTTGCATGCATCATTAAAAAGATTTATTGAAGGAGGGACGCGGAGAACTTTTCAGATGTCATGTTATGCCATGTCCTGTCATGTTCTGTCAAGTCGGCATGTCTCGTTATGTTGCGTCGTGTCTCGTTACGTTGTGTCTTGTCTCGTTAAGTCGCGTCGTGTCTCGTTAAGTCGCGTCGTGTTTCGTTCAGTCGTTTTATGTCTCGTTAATTCCTTTATACGAGACAAATTTTTTTTTTCAAATGGTCGACGACGATGATGAAAATGATGATTATGGAGAAGACAATGACGACGACGACTAACCCTAACCCGAACGACCGCAGTGATGATGATGATGGTGAGTTATTCATTCATTTATCAATCAATCAATCAATCAACCAACCAATCAATTAACCAATCAACCAATTAGCCAACCGCATTTAATTAATTTATATGGTGAAAACTATTTAAAGAGAACGTGTGCTATATTCATGACACTGATGTTGACGATGATGATAAAAATGATGATAATAATGATAACAATAATAATATAAATCGTTAGTGAAGTGATCTGAATAAAGGTCAATCTGATTTGACCTCTTTAGTACATCTTACCATACATACATCACGCACGCACACACGCACACACACACGCACACACACACACAAAATTTAATTAGATAGCACGATACATCATTTATGATGACGACGACGATGATGATGACGATGATGAAGATGATGATGAATTGGAGGAAGAGAAAGATGAAGACGACGAAGATGACAGTGTGGTAATGGAGAATCTCTTAAAAGCACAGTTATTCCTAATGGCCGACGCTGATCTTAAAAGCAGTGACAGAACTGGAAATAAAATGGAAAGAAAAAGTAGTTAAATTACTACTACTACTACTGCTGCTACTACCACTGGGGTTACTGCTACTACTGCTGCTACTACTACTACCGCTGACGCTACTACCACTACTTCTATTTCTGCAGCTGCTGCAACTACAAAACTACTAATGTTTCTACCCCACGATCATCAGTAACAGCAAAACAAATGGCAACATCGTTACCGTCAACAACAACATCATCATCATCATCAACAACAACAGCAACAACAACAGCAACGACAATAATAATAATAATAATAATGATAATAAAATTGACAACAATAACAACAACACTAACTTGCGTTCCAGGCATATCAATGAATTGTAGTAAGGATTCTTCACCGTCAATTTGCACCGAAACTATTTTGTTCGTTGGCTCGTCATCTGTTATGATGACGTCACGTTACATTAAATTTACATTACATTACGTCATAATACGTAATGATATGGTATAGGTAATGTTGGTACGGTAAGTACATTCATTGCATAACATTACGTGGTGCTACATTTAGCCTTAGTACATTAAATCTGTTTACTTACTAATGCAAAAATTGATAACAACAACAACAACAACAACAACGACAACAACAACAACAACAACGACAACAACAACAACAACGACGACAGCAACAACAACATTTTCTAACTAAAATTCAAGGGTTTAAAATAAAAAAAATTCAAGAAAAATTCAGTTCTTCAAATCAATGGTTGCATAAGGAGCGTCAGTTGTTTACGACTTCAAGAGTAACTCGATATATTGACAGACAGTGATCTCAAAGTAATTGAAGTAGTTAGTAAGTAGTTACTTGATGAAAACACAAACACAAACACACACACACACACACACACACACACAAACACACACAACACACACACACACACAATTATCCTTCTACCAAGGTCCGTTTATATCAGGCCGGATTTAAATTGAATCAAAATACCAAAAGTCGTTTGTAGATTGGTTTGTCAGTATGTATATGACTGTGTGTGTGTGTATATATGTGTGTCAGTCTGTGTGTGTGTATGTGCGTGTGTACGTGTTTGTTTATTTACTCACCAATTTCAGCGGCGCTCGTATAGGAACCAGTGGCTCTCGTTGGTCCCAGCCATCCATCAACATGGTGGTCGAAATGTTGATCACGTGACGAGGAAATAAATAAAGATGGAGAAATAAAAATGGGGTGAGGATTAGAAAGCCACGGAGGAACAGAAAAATGGTAAAAGTAGAGAGAGAGAAAGAGAGAGGGAGAGAGAGAGAAAGAGAGAGGGAGAGAGAGAGAGAGAGAGAGAGAGAGATTGAGACACACGATACAGCATTGTTTGCATATTTTTTTAGAAATTTTTAAAATTTGTGTTACTTCTGCATTGACATAATGTAAGTTTCGGCGTTAATTTAAAAATTACAATATTTTCCATTACCTGCAAGAAATTATATTTAAAATGTATCATGGGGCGTTGAAATTTACAAAAAGAAAAATTTTTTAATCAAACACGTAAAAGATGGTCCGCTCTGCATATATTCAAATGCTACAAAAAATTGTTCTTCATTTCCGTGGCCAATGTTTTTTAAAATACTTTTTAAACCTTTTAAAAGAAATTTTTATTATTAATTTAGAAACCATTAAATAGGATTGGATTGAATTGGAACGCTCTGTTCTCAATCTTCAGAACCAGTGGAGCCGACTGTCTTTATATATTTATCTTGCGAACTGCTGCCTTCGTCATCTGGCATCTCTTCAACGCTGTCTTCTTCTACACTCCCCCTTTCCTTCTGGCTGGTTCTCGCAAAGAAGATGAACGCCAGGAAGGAAAGGACGATCATGATGGCCGAGTGTATGGCTGCGAAGGTGTACATTTTGTTTGAAAAACTTACGAAAATGGGCTTTCTGGTGAAGTTATCTTCATCCCCGTCGATAATTTCATCAAAATCTGTAGTTGTGGGAGTACTAGCACCGATGGTTTGAAGGTTTTTGCTCTTGGTGGCTGGAATTTCATCACTTGCTCTTCTCCACGTAGTTGAGAGGTTGTTGTGATCTTCCCTGTGGGAGATGCTTGTATCATAAATTAGGTATGATTGGTAGTGACCTATAGCACAATAGTCAACTGGCATTTCACCGCTCACTGTTAAATGGTTTGCACAAAAACATTTAAAACCAGCATGAAGTACCGCAAAGTTGAACGAACGTTGACATCTTTCTTGGCATTGCTCTTCGGACAAACCTATTTCATAAAGCTCATGTTCCATGGTCACTTTTCTGAAACATCTGTGAAACGTTAGGTGGATAATCTGAAGTTTGTCCCATTCCGTACAGCTGACGACAGTTGTTCTTCCTGTTTTCATCTCCGTGCACTTCCTCTCCTGCCCGCATCTTCCGTTGAGGAGGTCGCATCCAACTTCATACACTTCAAATCCTTCTAACGCCATTTTAGAGGATGCTGTATCTGAAGGTTCGATGATGACAAATCTGGAAAGCAGCGTGAAGTTATTGCAGATTACAATCAGGGGTTGTGAGCCCCGGATTGCCTGCTGATCAGGTCCATAGCCACAAAGCTTCAGTGCATTTCTTGCATCTACTTTTGTTTCAACGTTAAAAGATTCATTAAGTTTCACTGCTAATTTATTTGCTCGATTGAACATTTTCTTATCCAAACTGATTCGCTCATGAGCTCTAACAAATCCAACGCAGTAGAAGTAAAGAAGATCTACAGCCATCCAAGTCGAACTCTCATCATCGACCTCAGCAGACCTGTATCCACCGTCGTTTAAATATTTCGCTTCGAAGCCAAACTTGTTTGATACAGAACTGAGATAGAATTTTTTACCTGCGGCCAAATTATGTCTGAAAACCTCACACAGGTACCTCCTGTTCCTAACAGTTCCGTGCGGACAGACGCATTCAGTGTATTGAAACTCGTTGACCGTAGACACGACACATTTCATCTCGCTACCGCAACCTCCATTGTTCGTCGTGCAATCTCTCTCCCTGCATGAATCGCCTTTCCAGCCTTCGTCGCATACTTTGCAAGATTTTATTTCGTAAATGTTCGCTGTCGTGTTTAGTTTTGTTCTCTCTGCTACTGATCCATCGTGCGAACAGTGCGAATATGCCGACGTACCTCTCTGAAAATCGTACTGAAATCGTGTGCCGTACAAGATGTTGTTGTTATCTACGTCGCCAGCATAACGACAGCCACAAATCTCATTCCTATCCTCTGGGCAGTAATGATCGCAGATAAGTTGAGACCTACTGGGCGTGAAATCATCGTAGTCATGCAAGCAGTTGCATTCGCCGTCTATCATATTTGTGAAGTGAGTTATGTTTATCTCAATGCAAAAGTGCGCACAAGCCTCAAGAGTGTGGGAAACATTAGATCTTAAAATGAACTGTTTCGTCCAGTTGAGATTGGAAGCGAAGAGATCATCATGCATCACTCGTGGCTTACCTTTATAAACGGAGAACACCTCCCTACCACCACAGTCATCGCCAGCGGAGCACGAGACATTACAATGAGATGAAGATACTGCCGAGTCTAGCCTCGTGGTGCAGTAACATTGGGAGCCATTCTTCAGGGCCAGCAGGTTGTTTCGCTCTTCTCTGCAGTGCTTCTGACACGTACTAACACTATCTACAATGGAATGTCTCGTTGGTAGGATGAATTTGTAGCAACCTATGTAGGAAGATTTCAGGTCAAAAAGTTCCGAATATTTCAATGTGAAGATTGTCAAAATTAAACATTTTTTTTTAAACATTTGAAGTTAAAAACCTACGTAAAATAAAGCCTACCAAATGAAACATTAATGTGCATAGTGTTTAGAAATAAATTTGATGTTTACATAGAATGGTCACGAAACAACAGAAGATTATTTATTTATTTATTCATTTATTCACGTAAATCTGTAATGGGTCACAATCATTTTTTTTATTTTAATACAAACGAATTTGGGTCATTCATTCAACATTTATTTGACTTTCACACTTTATTTAAATAAAATATGTAAATAAATTATTGTATAAGCTAGGTGAAAATTTCATTTAATATATAGTTTCTGGTTATACGATTTCAATTTAAATCATTTGTTTCTTAATTGCTAAAATTTAAAATGGAAAGTTTTTTCGACTGATGAGAGGCAGTGAATGAAATTGCACCTACATGCCACGCTACGAATAAATTGTTTGGCTCTTAACGATTCATCATTTCATTCTATTTAAAAATAATCTCACGAAATGAACTTTATATCAATTATTAAAAGGCAAATTCGTTCATTCGTACTATAAGATAAAAACTTTGCTAAATATCCGACTGTACAAACAAACATGTGTTGTAAAAGTATTCATGTTTGTTTGTATATTTGTACACATAAATGTACATTTGTATAGATGTACAGATGTGTGTACGTATGTATGTATTTAAGTTTCTACCACATGTTCATTTGAGCCTGGCGTCTCATCTGATCCGTAGCTTGCAACCGCAACTGCAACCGCAACTGCAACCGAATCAGGCGAGATTACTATGGTTGATCCCCTGTAAATATTCTAAGCCAATTTTCTTGTTTCTCATTCTCACTCTCTCTCTCTCTCTCTCTCTCTTTGTGTATCTGTGTGTGTGTGTGTATGTGTACATTTTGGTACTTCATCCTTTCTTCATCATTTATCAATTTATGTACCGCATAACGACTCATTTAGCGTTCGTTCATTCTATCAGCTTTTCATTCAATTGGCAACATACATAATGTCTTTGGCGCAGACGTGTGTATGTATGTGTATTTGTATGTATAGTAATAGAAGTAGTAGTAGTGGAAATTGTAGTAGTAGTAGTAGTAGTAGTAGTAGTAGCAGCAGCAGCAGTAGTAGTAGTAGTAGCAGTAGTAGTAGTAGTAGTAGTAGTAGTAGTAGTAGTAGTAGTAGTAGTGCTAACAATTTCTGTTGCCGTTTTTAAAATATTGTCGGAGTGACTAAAAGTAGATGGATGCATATTTCAAATGGCGCGTATAAGTCTTGTCCAAACGTATATATGTCTGTCTGTCTGTGTCTGTTTGTGTGTGTGTGTTTGTGTTTGTGTGTGTGTGTTTGTGCGTGTGTGACTGAGTGTGTATCCGTTTTTGTGTGCAACAATTAATATGAAATAAGTAAACAAGTAAAAACTGCTGAGAATAAAATTAATGGCAATCAAATTTAATGATTCGTGAACGTCATGGTATAGATTAAATTGCGAAATGCATTCTCTCTCTCTCTCTCTCTCTCTTTCTCTATCTCTCTTTCAATCTCTTTCTCTCTTTCACTTCTTTTCTTTTTTTTTCTTATCCGTGTTTCTATTTCTTTTTCTTTCTTCTATTTTTTCACATTTTTTCTTATTTCTTTTTATAATTTTTCTTCTGTCTCTCTCCCTCTCTCTAACTTTCTCTGTCACGCACTGTCTCTCACTTTTTTATTTCTCTCTCTCTCTTTTTCTTTCTCTCTCTCTCTCTCTTTTTAAATTAAACAATGCTTGTGTGCAACATTATTCAACACCACTTGCAGATACTCGCATGTCTAGAAGAAGATAATAAAAATACTACTGCCAAAACTATTACCACCACCACCACCACCACTACTAATACTACAACAACAACAACAACAACAACAACAACAACAACTACTACTACTACTACTACTACTATTACTACTATTACTGCTACTAGTACTACTACTACTACGGCTACTACTACTACTTTTATTACAACTAACAATAAATCAATCCAATCTATGACAGATAGTTAGTAAATTTAAAATGACACAAAAACACCAAAATATTTAGGCTCATAGCAAAAAATAATAATTATAATTTGGAACAAAATGGCGACGGTGTGTGTGACGTCACAGAGCTCGGAGCAATAACGGTGTTGTGGATGTCGAATGTGAGTCAATTTATTCCAAGTTGTTGCTATATTGTCATTGTTATTATTTGTTGGCTTTCTACGTTTGTGTTTGTAAGTGTGCGTGCGTGCGTGCGCGTGTGTGCGTGTGTATATGTGTGTGTTCGTGCAAATGTATTCATTTATTCCCGTTTTTCGTTCTTTCATTCCTTCGTTCGTCTATTCGTTCATACTTCTTTTGTAGTTTTGCTACTACTTTGTTATATGTTTTTGTCATTGTACGTTAGCTGACTACGTTTGTGTTTGTAAGTGTGTGTGCGTGTATGTGTGTGTGTATGTGTGCGTGTATGTGTTACACTAGCATTATTACTAAAAATGACAAAAAGTAGAGTAGTACTAGTATATGTGTTACTGGTAGTAAATATAACCGGATATAAAGCAATAGTAGTACTGGAATGATCCTAAAAGGTAGATAACATCTTAATGGCTGTTGTCCGATGAATACATTACATCGCTAGCATTCCATCATTTTACAACGTTCGTATTTTTGTATTTAGGGTATTTGTGTGTATGTATGCCTGTAGGTGTGTGTGTGTGTGTGTGTGTGTGTGTGTGTGTGTGTGTGTGTGTGTGTGGTGATCAAAAATCTCTAATTAATCAATTGTGGAGTTTAATAATTTAATATTTGAATAAATTGATCATTCAAGTTTTATTTCATTTAGTTTAACATTAACTCATTCATTCTTTCGTTTCATTGGTTTATTCCTTCATAAAAATATCATTTATTTATTCATTAAAAAATATCATAAAAATATCATTTATTTATTCATTAATTCGTTTATTAATTAATTAATTAATTAATTAATTAATTAATTAATTAATTAATTCGTTCATTCGTTCGTTCGTTCGTTCATTCATTCATTCATTTATTCATTCATTCATTCTTTCAATCAGTTGTTTGAATCTAAATTGATTAGTCGACCGGCCGGCCAGCCGACCGACGACAACAGCAGCAAATAGGATTAGCAGCGCCGCAAGTAGCGATAGTAGCGACGACGAACATTAATCTTATAATGAAAAATAATACATTTCCTTTCTATCAATCGATCGACGCGTAGGAAGTCAGCAACAATTAAAATGGCAAAAGTTATCGACGGATTTCATCTTCAGCGTCTTCTCGCTTCCTTTCTCCTTTATTTTCTTTCACACTTTCTACTTTTCTCTCTTCTATGGCCGCTTAATCTTCCTTACCCTCTTTCTCTACCTTTTGTCTACACCACCATTTAACTCCTCATGATGCCACTCCCTACCATCCATTTTCAACATCTTCTTACCTCCAACTTTTTTCTCCCATTCAAATTTTTTTATCCTATGACCTTTCCATACTTTTTTATTCTATGCCCTCTTACTTCTTCTTCTATGATCCCTTTCTTTTTCTCTTCTATGGCCCCTTTCTTCTTCTTCTATCGTCCCTCCTTCTTTCTCTTCTATGGCCCTTTCCTTCTTCTTCTATGGCTCCTATCTTTTTGATTGTTGCCACATTGTTTTTTGGTCCTTTTCTTTTATTTCCTTTTTTGTCATTTCTGAGTTTTTTCATCTCCTATTTTTTTTTAAGTTTCCACCTCTTCTTTCTCTTTATTTTTCTCTCTCTCTCTCGCTCTCTTTCTTTCTCTCTCTCTCTCTCTCTTTCTCTCGTTATAATTTGAACACCTGGTGGTTATTTTTACAAAGCGCGACGACTGCCTTTTGTTGTATTGCTATTGCCGTTGTTAATTTATTGACGTTTGTGATTGTTGTTGTTGTTTATTGTTTCGTTGTTGATGTCGTCGTCGTTGTTTATTGTTTTATTATTATTGTTGTTATTATTGCTAATGTTTTGGTGTTTTTTATTCTTTGTTTGTGCGAAATTTTTATTCGTGGCTCAGGATTAATTATTCTACTTTTATCGTGTTTTTATTATCACCATTAATATCATCTTTCTTTTTTATTATCGTTCACATTGACGTCACCATCATCCCCATCATCATCATCATCATCATCATCATCATCATCATCATCATCATCATCATCATCATCATCATCATCATCATCATCATCATCATCATCATCATCATCATCATCATCATCATCATTGTCGTTGTCATCATTATCATCATCAACAACAACATCAAGACAGAAGACCGTGCTACTCAAAGGATGGCCAACACCGACTCATAAAATAGAAAAGGCAGAAGGTAGTTTGCTCAGGTCGAGTCCCTGCATTTCTCTTAAAAGCTACAAAACAACAATCAACAGTAAAGTCAGCTGTAACTGTCGTAACTGTCGTGACGATGCTACCCACCTATTTAGCAGCTGCCCGAACAACCCTACCACATCTCACGGTAATAGATCTCTGACGAAATCCGGTTGCTGTGGCCAACTGGCTCCAGCCCCGTCTGGACTCCTCTGGCGATGTTTGAAGCGAGGCAACAACAACAACAACAACATCAACAACAACATCAACAACAACATCAACAACATCATCAACAACAACATCAACAACATCATCAACAACAACATCAACAACATCATCAACAACATCATCAACAACAACATCAACAACAACATCAACAACAACATCAACAACATCATCAACAACAACATCAACAAAATCATCAACAACAACATCAACAACAACATCAACAACATCATTATTACTGACAACAACAACGACAAAAAATTATAAACAGCGCTCTCGAAAACTTGACAAAAAACTCACTGAAAAGAATTTTTTGACAAAAAATAAAGAGAAATAGAAAAAAAATAGGGACGCACCCATGTCGTTGTTTTCATTATTGGCCAAGTATTCAGAGGTCAACATTTGGTGGGTCAAGGTCGTCTTCCCTACCCCGGTCATGCCCATGACGACGACCTTGTAAACCACAACATCGTCTTCATCGTGACTGCGATTTATCGTTACGTCGTTTTGCAGCAAAATGTTGTTGTGGTCGTCATCGTCGTCGTTGTTGACGCCACCATCATTTTCCTGGTGGTGTCCGTTGTGGTAGGTGACGTGGCCACCATCCTCACAAACGTTGTCGTTTAGCTGGTCCGTGGTTTGGTGTTGAGTATGATTGTTGTTGTTGTTGATGTTGTTGATGTGACGCTGTTTGGTTGTGAGCGTTGAAGCAGATAATGACGTTGTTGCTTGAATGTTGTTGTTTTGTTGTTGATATTGTTGTTGGTGTGACTGCTGCTGTTGCTGATACTTGCCGCTGACGCGTTTGCCGGCGTGGTCGTCGTCTTGGGACTGAAACTGTCTGCTGAATTTCGAGTTTTTCAGTGGTAGTTTGTTTCGTTTGTTGATGTTGTTGCTTGAGTCGTTGATATCGTCATCATCGTCGTTGTTGTTGTCGTAGTTGAATTCAGTGATGGCTAGATGACTCGCGGAGTTGCTGTAAAGTTTTCGGTTGTTCTTATTCGTTGCTGCTGCTGCTGCTGTTGTTTTTAACTTCAAGGAAGATTTGTTGATGCTACCGTTACTGATGTTGTTGTGGATGTTGTTGTTGACGTTGCTGCTGTTGTTGTTGTGTACTCCTCGAAGACTTCCGCTTCGATTGTTGTTCATTAGATTGTTGTTGATGTTTATGCTGTTGTTTTCAAAAAAATGCTTCGATTGATCTCTTGCGAGTGGCGATATGATGCTGCTACCAGCACGACAACTTCTCGGCCTAGCTCCCGCCAAGCCATCTCCAACTTTTCGAATCTTAATCGAATCTCCTCTGTTGATTATATTTCCATCTTTCGTACTGAAGTTTCTCACTCTTAACACACTTCGATCGTTCAACGCGTTTGGTGGTTCAGGTGGTAGCTGTTGCAGCTGCTGTAGCTGTTTGGGTCGTTGCTGCTCCCCCTTCCGTCTGCTGGGCATCGTCATGTTTCGTTGCCTCGATAATTTCCCGCTGGATGTCGCTTCATCTTCTGCTTCCTCTTTCTCTCCGCTGGCTTCTGGCCGACCTGTGTGTACACAAAAACGTACTCACAAGCATACATACACGCATACATACAAAGATACTCACGGACACACACACACACTCACACACACACAACGGCAGCAAGCTGGTTCATTTTATACGCAGGATATTTTGGCTCTGTTTTCAAATTGGCTACTGTTCAAAAATTGCGCAGATTGCACGCACGCACACACACGCACACTGCATGCAAACAACAACAAGCTCACGCACACACACACACACGCACACACACACACACACACACACACACGTTCATTAATACATTACAAACATTACAGCCACCGAATCGTGTAGCGACTTAGGCTTATACTTCTTATGCGTGCTTTGCCGCAGAATTACATGCGTCTCTACGTAGAAAAATATTTTAACGGTAAAAATTTTAAAAACCTTTAAAAAATTTTAATTTAAATTTTAAATCACATAAGACAGGAAGAGAACGTCATAAATTTTAAAATAATTACAAGACAGCATAAACAAGGCAGCAACAAAATACCATCACAACGGCAGAACAACAACAACATGTCCAACAACAACAACAACAACAACAACATGTCCAACAACAACAACATGTCCAACAACAACAAAATTGTCCAACACAAACAACACTCCTAACAACAGACGCAACTACATGCGTTGCGTACATAAACAAACCGCGGAAACTGAAAAATTTATTTGAACGTAAAGAATATGAATGTGATGTGAGAAGAACTTTTGGAATTTTAGGAAAGTTTCAAACACACAAACACACACACAAACAAACACACAAACGAACATACAAGCATACACACAGAACAGCATACAACATGAAATATAACGATATAAATAACAACAAAATCTAAAACATAAACAAGGTACACGTAAATAACGTGGACAAACATTAATGTAAGCGACGAAAGTATATAGCATCGTAAACAACTTGGAAAACAACAACAGAAACAACAACAGCAACAACAACAGCAGCAACAATAACAACAACAACAGCAGCAGCAACAACAGTAGCAGCAGCAGCAACAACAACAGCAACAGCAACGACAACAACAGCAGCAACAGCAGCAGCAACAACAACAACAACATCAACAGCAACAACCTTCTCTAGGGCTCCTCCTACTAGCTCTGTACGAGTGTGCTCTATGCAGACCAGCACCACAGCCGCCAATATCCGAACCTAAAAAGTTATTATTTTCAACGTCGTCTCTTCCGACATTTCTGTTGTTGCCGCCATATTGTCTCTGAGTGACGTCATCATAATCGTCATCGTCGTTTTCGCGCCGTTTTGTTGCGCCTAGCGGAACTTTTTTGATGGATTTTCGCAGTAAACCGCTTCTCGCCAACTCCAAGTATTCGGATTCGACACCGAGTGATCGAGCCTTGAACATCGCAAACTCGTCTATCTCTTCTTCTTTTTCTGCGGTCGCCATTTCTCTGTTGTTGTTGTTCTGTTGTTGCTGATGTTGTTGTTGTGGTTGATGTTGTTGTTGTTGCTGATGTTGTTGCTGATGTTGTTGTTGTGGTTGTTGTTGCTGCCTGCTGTCGTTATAGTTTAGATTTTAGTTGTTTGGTTTGCTGTGTTTGCAGTTTTAGCGCGAGTTTTTCCGTAGATTAATCGTACGCATTAAGAGAGTTCATGATTTATGTGATTTTTTGTTGAGGGCTATGACGTTTTTGTTGATGTTGCCAGCTAGTTCTGATGATGACGACGACGACGATGATGATGTTGTTGTTGACTATGATGGTAATAACGTTTTGTTGTTGTTGTTGTTGTTTGGCTTGTTCATTCGTTGTCTATATACCATAATTTGCTATTGGTCATTCTTGCTTAATTAAATGTTTTATTCTATGTTAATTTAATGTTAACTGTATATATATATATATATATATATATATATATATGTGACGTAAGTATGAAAATGTCATTGAAAATAGTACAATATGATTTCGAGGAGTTATATTGCGGCATGTTTGTTATGGTTTCTTTGATGTGCACATTTTCCTTTCATAATGATGACGACTGTGCTGGATCTGACGCACATCTAACTATTCTCGTGTGTGTGTATGTGCGCGCGTATGTGTGTGCGTGCGTGTGGTGTGTGTGTTTGTGTGTATGTGGATTGTGTGTGTGTAATTTTTAACCATGTGACAACTTCAACCAGGCCTAACAAGACATGTTAATTAAAACTATAAAAAAAATAAAATATTTCTTTTTAGGAAAAAGAAAAAACGAATTTTTTTAATTAAACTTCACAGCCAAAGCTGTGAAAGCAAAAACTTAAAAATGTGTGAGGCAGTTACAACCGTAACAACTGTTACAACCTTCAAGTTTAATTTGTTTTAAAATTTGTTCAAATTCGTTCAAATTTATATTATTTTTAACATTATTCTCTAGACATCTATATAAAACTTGATAAGTAATATTTAAAATAGTTTTAAAATACGTTTGACTTTATTACAAATCTCAAAAAAAAATGTTTAACTGGATGAGATACCACCGCAAATTTAAATCAGTTAAACATAAAAAAAACCAGGTTTTAATTTCTCTGATGGCTTGTCAGAAAACATAGGTATGCGTGTGTGTTTTAATTTACTTGGGTCGTTTATATCTTGTTAATCATGGATATATATCAAACTTTATATTATATATAGGTATCATGTATCATATTATTATATATCATATATATATATATATATGTATCATTTGTATAATGGACATATATCACATATTAAATAGTATATATTCTGTGACATTAAAATACATTGGCTGGAAACTATCAACAAATAATTGATATTACCTAGAAGATAAATTGTTCTGAATGGAGTAATAAGAAACATATATGTAACGATGAAATGATATCAACATTACATCATTCTAACATTGTTATAAAACATCCTTTTACATGATTTCATCAAAGGAGTAGTGATAGCATCCGCAGAAGCAGCAGCATCAACAGCAGCAGCAGCAGCAGCAGCAGCAGCAGTAGTAGTAGTAGTAGTAGTAGTATTAGTAGTAGTAGTGGTGGTAGTAGTAGTAGAAGCAGCAGCAGCAGTGGTTTGAAATGCGTTGAGAGTAACACTTCAGCATACTCCTAGCCAATTGATGCACATTCTAATATATTTTCAACGTTTAATGAAAATCTCATTTCTAGCACTTAAGCACTATCTAGAGGACTATCATAAGATGAATTGCAGGGTAGTGTAGGGGTAAAGTTCCCGGTCTTACTACTGCAGTGGCTGTGTTTGAATACAAAGCGATTCTTTCTTATAAAAGGTCTTTATTGGAAACATCGAGTTGACTGGTAAGATTAAATCAACATAATGAATGGACAAATATTGTTCTGTACAGATATAATCAAGAAAAAAAATTATCATTATTATTATTGTTATAAGCAGTAGTAGTAGCAGTTGTGGTAGTAGCTGCAGTAGTATGTAGGTAGTTGTAGTAGGTAGTAGTAGTCATATTTTCATAAGTATAATTAAGAATTGTAATTCGTTAGAATGTCTAAAAGCAATAGAGTACAATAGAGTACATGCCACACGGTAGATAGGATACATCGGCTGGTGTCGCTTTGCTACTTATGTTACTGTTATTGATTTTAAAAAGAGGAGCTATCCACTTCTCATAAATAACATTAAGTACTCTTAGTACAGGAAGACTACACGCCAAAAAAATAATAATAATAATAGTAATAATAATTATCATCATCGTCGTCATCGTCATCATCATCATCATCATCATCATTATAGCAAATGAAAACCACACAATGCTCGGAACGTATGATAACCAAATTAAAACCAAACACGATGCATACACAAATACATACATGCGTATAAGCACACACAGACACGCGTACATCCATGCATACATATAAACGTACACACACACACACACACACACACGCAAACATACATATACACACACACGCACATACACCCTTCGATGGTCCACTATTCAAAAAATTGTACTTGATGCTTTGGTCTGCGTAGTTCTATTACTGCTGCTGCTACAGCTACTACTACAGCTACTACTATTACTACTTATACTACTACTACTACTTCTTCTTCTTCTACTACTACTACCACTACTTCTACTACCACTACTTCTACTACTACTACAGCTACTACTACTACTATTACTACTTCTACTACTACTACTACTACTACTACTACTACTTCTACTACTACTACTACTACTTCTATTACTACTAATTCTACTACTACTACTACTACTACTACTACTACTACTACTACTACTACTACTTCTGCAACTATAAATAGCGTCAAGTGCCACCAATAGTAATTTATCAAAAACGCCTACAACATGAATATTTATGAGAAACCTGTCAATCAATCCTGCCAAACTTTTAGATAACAGTTTTAATGAAACTCTGGTTTGGAATTTCGAATGTTGCTGTAGCCGAATTGGTAGCGGTGCCATTTTAAGAATAATCTTAGATTACTGATTAACGTTGATGGTTAACGGTGATGGCTCGGATTCAACTGCACTTTAGACTTTAAAATTAGATAGAAATCCAAACGGAGATTAATGATAGAAATTTAAATTTTTTTAAAATAATGGTTGAATTTTACATTTTATAAAAAATCAAGTTGGGCCGCTAGTCTGTAGTTTGGACCACAGTACTGAATTACAATATTTAAAATTATTATTGTCATTATTATCATTATAACTTAATAATTAAAATTAATACATTCAAAATGGTGGAATGTTTAAAAAAGTTGACAACGAATTATATGAAAAATGTAAAAAAAATTTAGAAAAATACTTTTGCAGAAAAAAAAACTAATTAAGAAAATGGATTGATGATGTACGCGTGTGTAAATATACATAGCATGCAAAAGCGAGCATTTTGTCTCGTTTCGTTTCGTCTCGTTTCTTTTTTTTCTCGTTTCTCTCCCGCTGTTATCATCGCCGCATCCATTAAAGGTTGTTTGTTTTCACTTCACTCTTTTTAAATTCAGTCATTCATTCATTCATTCGTTTGTTCATTCATTCGTTGTTTTATTTATTTTCATAATTCAGTCATTTTAATTCATTCATTTGTTAATACATTCATTCATTCATTTATTCATTCATTAATTTTTTCGTTCGTTTGTTCGTTCATTCACGAACATAGCAAACATTTCTCTCTTATCATCAAAACCACAAAAAAAACTTTTGAAAAATTGGTTAAAAAATATACATTTACCAAGAAAACGTCACAACATTTACTAACAAGGCACTAATGACTTCACCAGAAACGAGTACCACGTGACGACAAAGACGTCAGAGCGAGTAATTGGCAATCCGTCTGCTAAACCGTGCAAAGAAAAGAATTTGTTTTTAATTATATGTTTCGTTTTTAATTCTATTTTGCTGTTTAAATTGATTTCAGATCTTTGTATTTGTTTTTGAAACTTTTAGCAATTTACACATACACACTAGTTTACATAGACATACACACCAACACAAACACCAACACACACACACACATACACGCCAATACACACATACACCAACACACACACACATACACACCAATATGCACACATACACAGCATTATAAACACACATACACACCAATACACACACATACACGTCAGCAAATTGTTGAACCAGCTATGTGACATGCTGTCAGGGAGCTCTGAAAGTCTGTTTTGTGATCATCATCATCATCATCACCGCCATCATCATCATCATCATCACCGTCATCATCATCAACAGCAGCAGCAGTAGCGGCAGTGGCGGCAGTAGTAGCGTCATCAGCGTCGTCGGATATTAGATTTTCCCGCCACGTCTCTTAAACACGCACGACCTCGTTTCAAGTGCTTGAAATAATTTTTTTTCAAATAGAAAAAAAAATTAAACGAAGGTTAAAGTGAGTAAAAATAAAGATAAAATTAAAAAAAAATTAATAATAATAATAATAAATCTTAATAATAATAATAAATCATAATCATAATAATAATCATAATAACAATCATAATAAAATATAATTATAAAGTATTTTGGTGATGCACGTTTCACTGAGGCGAATTTTTAATTTTTATCTGGTTAAACGTTTCAGAAGTGGAGTTTAACGAAATGAAAAAAATTCATCATTGTCTTCGTCATCATCTTCGTCTTCATCTTCATCACCCTCGCCTTCTTCATCATCATTTTCTTCATCATTATCATCTTCATCATCTTCTTCGTCTTCATCATCATCACCATCTTCTTCATCATCGTCGTCATCGTCATCACCACAAGAGTCATCATTGTAACTAGGCCAATGATGAATATGTAAAAATGAGAAACATAATACATAAAATACCACTTTATATTATTATTATTCATATAATTTAATTCTTCATTTTACTCAATCATCCATCCATTCATCCACCCATCTTCTTTTTTTCATCCATTCCTTAGTTCCATTCTGTCATTCAC